GCATTATCTGTGTTCCTCTGGTCACACACCTATCTGCAGGGAGTGGAGGGAAACCATTCCTCAACACTCCTCACCTCACATGAAACAGATCTCCTCTTTTAGGACTTTTATGCCACATTGACCAGTGCTCTTAGTGACAATGCCTCTGAGCAATTTCTTTCCACTACAGTGGGGTTATCATGCAGCAAGGTAATGTATCTGGGAGGAAGGCCATGCAGCATGTTCAGATTTGACTCTTATTATTTGGTTGGGGTTTTTTTAAAGCAAAACCAGCAAACATTCACTGGGAATGCCAGAGGAAAGAAATTTTATGGTATGAAGTTCACACATATTCAGTTTCCAATCTGCAATTGTGCTTTCAAATGAACAGCTGTTGTTTTATAAAGGTAAGCTATACTGCCCAAGTAATAGATTTTGATATATGAAATGTAACCCCCACAAAGCAAAGCAAAGCAAAGCAAAGCAAACCACAGTCACGTAACGCCTGCTGTATAAAGTGCTAAATGCAGCATGTACATGCTGTGGTACTTCTGGAAGTTACATGTGGTCCAATTTGAAGGCCCAATCCAAAAGTCATCAAAATCAATGTGAGCCTTCAGTTGATATCTGTGGACTTTCTACTTGGCTCCAGAAAAGCTAGCTCACAGAACTAATTCAGAGCAAGAGCACTGCTGTGCCATTAGCCCTATATTTTATTCTGTTCTCTTATAGTACTGAACTTTACAAAGTTCAACCTGGAGAGATGTGAGCAGTGGGGTACTCCAGGGCTCGGCCCTTGGGCCCGCACTGTTTAACGTCTTCATCAGCGACTTGGACAAGGGGGTGGAAAGCACGCTGTCCAAGTTTGCTGATGACACTAAGATGTAGGGCCAGGTGGACACACTTGAAGGGAGAAAGAGGCTGCAACGAGATTTAGACAGACTACAGAAGTGGGCAGAAGAGAATAGGATGGGGTTCAACGTAGACAAATGCAGGGTGCTGCACCTTGGAAGAAGGAATCCACAGCATACATACAGGTTGGGGAGTTCCCTTCTTGAAAGCACAGAGGCGGAAAGGGATCTCGGAGTCATTATTGACTCCAAGATGAACATGAGCCACCAATGCCAGATCGCAGACAGCAAGGCCAGCCATACCTTGTCATGCATCCAAAGGTGCATCTCAAGCTGGTCCAGAGAAGTGATATTCCCCCTCTATGTGACTTTGGTCAGGCCGCAGTTGGAGTACTGTGTCCAGTACTGGGTGCTGCACTTCAAAAGGGATGTGGCCAGCCTGGAGAGGGTTCAGAGGAGGGCCACCTGCTTGGTGAGAGGGCAGCAGAACAGGCCCTACGAGGAGAGACTGAAGGACTTGAACCTGTTCAGCCTCAGCAAGAGGTGGCTGCCTACAAGCTCATCAGGGGAGATCAACAGCAAATAGGCAGAGCCCTTTTCTCCCCAGCACCACCTGGGGTGACAAGGAACAATGGTAATAAGCTGATGAAGAACAGGTTTAGGTTAGAGATCAGAAGGCAATATTTTACAGTTAGGGTGGCCAAAATCTGGAAGGGGGTCAGGCTAGATGATCTGTTCAGGTCCCTCCTGACCCTAGCTACTATGAAACTATGATGATACTATGAAGTAGCTATAAAATTAAATGGGAAAATGCACAAGGCTTAGGAACACATTTAAACGCACAAATTAAAAAAAAAATGGAAATCTACTGTGACATCATAAGAACTTAAAACAATGTATTATGTCACCTTTCTTCCATTACTAGGAGAAGAGAACGTTAAAAAAAACATATTGCGCAGCTATCTCTCTTCCACTAAGTGCAACCTCCTCTCACTGGAAGTAATAGAGAATATTGTTTTGTTCAAATTTGCAGTCTCGTAATCAAGGAAAGCTCTAAAATTAGCTGTTCATTAAAAATAAACATTGCAGATGGAAAAACAAATTCATTCATACATCATGTTCTACTAAGCACCTACAGTCATTTGAAGCACAAATAGTGGTGCCATGACTCGTGACACTAAAACACCCTGTACATTTTAAAGCACACTGATCTTTGCCAAAGAAAGGGAAATAAAAAACAACAAAAAAAAGTTCTCTCCACAAACTCCCAGAAACAGAAAACTCACCAACATTCCTCATAACTGCTAAAAAAAAAACAAACCAAAATAAAATTAGCAGGTTGTTAGCAAATACCAAAAGCAGAAAAAAGCAATGTCTGGGAAAATATCTTATTTGTTTAATATTTTCAATAATGCATGTACATGTGATTAAACCTGGAAGCAAAAAAATGCACATACTAAAGAATGTCAGATGATCATGGTATTCATTTAGAGTGTTACACATGTGCAAGGAACAGTTTTGCCAATAAGCAAGGAAAAAATAAAATCTTTTTTTACTCAGCAATGAAAATGAAGAAAGATGGAATAAAGTTCTACTATATTGGGGCCTACCTTTTTGGCAGGTGTGCTACAAATTAGCCCTGGCACCTCTCCAAGTGCCACTCTGTACCCTTCCACCCCAATCTGCGGGTCTGCTTCCTGCTCCCCAACCCATGCTCCCTGCCTGATCTGCTGCTCTTCTTTCTGTTTCCTGCCCTGTCTGCTACTGTGCTGCCTGTCCCCTCCCTGAACTGTGCTGCATGCCACACATAGAGGCTGCCCATGCCAGTTATGGCACACATGCTACAGGCTGACCATTTCTTTTCTGTTACATTGGTTTGTATCAAAGTGAACAAATCCACAAAAAGGGAGTCCTGCTTGTTAAGGAGTTTGTAACATTATAATCTTACATTATTTGATAAAATTCCATTTATATCGCTTCAGCAGTTTATACACAAGGACAGATTAGACTCTTCACACCTTTTATTTAGTTATCAAAGTGTGCTTTCTTTTTACAAAACATGTCATACAGCATTCAAGTGATGGGATCTTGCTACTCTTAAGATAATGATATTTGTAAATGAATACATGTTTAAGGTCAGAAGGAATCACTATGATCATTAGCCCTCCCTTTTTGACAATACAGGCCATAGAGCTAATTCTGGCCAAAAAAAAAAAAATATATATCAAAGGATTCCACAACTAGCCACTATCCACTGCCTTGCACCTGCAGTATTTTTTGCACTTACTAAAGTGGGGATATATTTTTTTTTACTAATTTTATTTATTTTGCATTGTTTCTGGCTCTTTTGCTTGTGTTATGAACAATTACTATGTTTCTGGTTCTATCCTTTGGGTTTCTGATGTGATGCATGTAATATGTAGGACAAGTTCTTTTGAGTCAATACATGCTGTTATTCCAAGCCTCAGGGCATCCTATTTTTTATTTGACTTGTATGTCCCCAAGTGAGCACAGACAAAAATGCCTGGTTATGCTCTGAGGATGAAGTGTAAGAAGCCTGCTTGATCTGACATTCATGTGATCTAATACCTCTTACAATTATCTTGGTAGGTATAGTATTCATCCTTGCTCACCATTATATGGTTTGTTACAAAACTGACAAAATGTTTTAAGATCAGGGCTGTCCAATCCATTTGGGTTTGTAGGGCAGGTCTGGACCAACGGGCTTCTTCTGGGCCAGACAACCCATGTCCAGCAGTGGGGCAGGTAACAGCAGTGTTAACTCTTGTGTGCTGACCATACCATCACTGCTTGCCCTACTGCTAAAAGGCATCCCCAATAGGGATCTCAATCTGTAAATACATGGGTTTAACACTGCTGCCACTTGCCTACTGCCACCAAAAAGCATCCCCCAACAGGGATCTCAACGTGAAAAAAAATAATGTGGGGCAAGTGGCAACAGCATTAACTTCCTGAGTGCTGGCCCCGTCAACAGAGACTCTGACAATCATGGATGTTAATGCCATCACTGCCCTGATGCAGACTTTTCAGCCCTGTGAACCATGATTTAACCATTTGAGGGCCACATGCAGCCTGTGGGCTGTCATTTGTTCTAAATTAACATTGGAGGGGGAGAGATCAATAAACAGAAGAAGGGCCTGTAATCTGTGCTATCTCCTGATAAGGATATTACCGGCAGAAAAGCTTATTTCAACTCAGAAATAAGACATGCAATTTTCATATGCACAGAGATGGCTGCTTTGTAAAGGCTCAGGAGAAAAACGCTGGTTGGAAATGAAGGCTTGAGATACAAGACTGGGTGTGTAGAGCTGAGTGAATTGTACCAAATTAAAAGCAGATGTTTTGGTGGGGTGTGAATTATTATCTGTCGTCTTCTCTGTGATAACTATTATGTTAGTCACCCCATCCCATGCTAAGTGGAAGCTAAATTAGGCTCATCTAGTATTTATTTCAACTGAGGTAAATTGCCCTGGTCTAGCTTTAACTTACTGTGGAAAAGTATGGACGAATGGAATAACTACTGCAGATCAACCGATGCATGGTACTTTAATTTTGTATAATTTGTCTGTCTGTTCACACCAACAGGTGGTTTAGTTACTTAAGACACCGGAGTGACAGGTCCATGTAAGTACATCAGTAGACCAATACAGGACTATGAAACCAACAACAACAGAAACGTCAGCCCACCCTATTGATGTTTCAGCTTTTTCTTCCTGCCACATCCTGTATGTCAGACATTTATGGGAAGCAGAGGTTTGTACCGGTCTAACTACCAAAATATATGCTGGTCTGACTCTGAAGTTCAAGTGGCACTACAGGTTGCCCTGCTTCTGTAGTCCCCAGTTTTCTGTGACTGACGGACAACAAAATCAAGCAAGTAACACACTGTTGGCAACATTATGCTTTGCTCTCCCTGTCAACCTCACTTTTAATTTTCTGTGGCTGCAAAAAACATTTGAGGATCTGATGGTCAACACACTTGGGACCTCTGCCCTATCCATTACCAAAAATAGGGAGAGCTTAACAACAATCCCCAAACCTGTAATCAGAGAGGAAATAAACTCAGCACTAAAGTACCTTCAAGAGTTAAACTAGAAAAGTAAAATACCATAATTTAACTATCCTGAAATATTAAAAGTCCTAAGAAATCATAATGATTTTTCAATTTAATAACAATAAGAAAGAACAAAAGGGAAACTTTTTTCCTTCTCCCTCTTTATAAAAGACATACGATAATGTTCACTTTATATAGTAGAACTTCTAAATGTAGATATTACAAAAAGGTGAAATGGTGAGCTTATTGTCCAAATCATTAGCATGGAGCATTAGATAAAATCAAGTGACAACTTTTATAACAATTCGTCTACTTACTGTTTCTTTGCCTCCTCAAATTTATGCAGTTTTTTCCGTAGGCCACCTGATTTAAAGCCTTGACAATGAGCTGCTGGCGCACCTATGGTCACTATGTCGTAATTCTGATCTGGGATGGACAAAAAGTGCTTACAAATGAAAGTTCACCCTCTTCACTTTTGCTTGAATATCTGTGGAAATTTAAACTACTCAAAACATAATTTTCTCAACCCTCCCCTTCCCTTCTCCTCAAAATTGGGGCCCTTCCAAACAGATCTGAGATCTACAGTAAGCTTGAACTGTTTCAATGGCCTTAAGGAGCTGCCAAGTCCTACAAACCTAGATCTCTCTGTCTTGATTTACAAGACTGACAAATGCAAAACACGTTGGATATAAGGAAGAGGGATTAACCTTGATACTTGCCAAACTATGCATCTCTCCCATCTGGAGACAGGTGAAAGGGGCTGAAAAATTAGACCTTTTTTTGTGGATATTACTACTAATACTTTTTTGCAAGTATTATGGTCCTTATACATTAATACAAAATATTGGATTTGTCCTGGCTACAGTGAAATAAAGTAACTACATAAAAAAAATCCAACAGGCAGGACTTTGACATCATGACACAACCTGAAAGGATCCTAAAACCTAAAAAGGGACATTGAAGTTTAATTCAGCACAAAAAGAAAAGGACTGCAAATCTGGTGAGAGGAGAAGGAAGGCACTCCACCACTCAATTTTACCATAAAATAAAAACAGGAATAATGATACTTACTTTTTTTTTTTAGTAAAAGCGTTCTGAGGTCCAAGGAGGGTAGGTGTTATGCAATGTTAGTTAGTTTAGCACAGCACAGAAGCTGCACTGGTTTGCAGAAACTGAGCTGTGGAAGGGAAAATGGAAGTCCAAAAAAAAGGGGAAAACATAAATATATGAGACAATGAGAGAGACGTACCTGATCCTGCATCATCCTGGACTCTCATTCTCTGGATGTGTAAATTTGTAGGAACAAATTCCAGTTTTTTATCAGCTTTCAAGCTGCTTGCTTTAAACGAGGGACCTGAGAAATGTGAGAGAGACATATTTATTCTGTATCTGCACTTTAAAACCTTTGCTGCTCCCAGAGGCAATGTGGGATAGGGCTCCCTTCCACACCTGATGCACAGCTGTAGACAAGGTGAAGGTAATGCTGGGCCAAAGTATGACAACTAGTCTTCTGGTCAGTGGGAACTTGTGCTCCTGAGGCCCATGCAATCAGCAATAAACTGTATGACTGTAGAAATGGAAGGGTGATAATAGGATTCATTTAAAATCTATTTTAGTGAGAAGCTGCTATGTCCTAAAAATCCTGTAATTAACCCTATGGTACTGGAGGACAGTAATATATTCATCTTTGATGGAACATGTTCTCACTGTAAGCAAGACTTAGAGAAAAGCACAAGATGACACAAGAACCTGAAAAATATATATATTTAATAAATCCAATTCTAAAAGGAATCAGGAAATCACATCCTTTTAAAAAAAAAACCAACAGCTGAACACATTTTCTACTTCACTCCACATACTGGGAACTATGCTAGGAAAACACAGGTGTTATGATACCTCTACTCTCTTCAACTTTATAGACTATGTAGTATATGCTACCAAATACAACTGAATTAGATGCCAACAATTGAGGTATTCTGAGGCTCAGCATAATAGATTACTCTGTTTATCAAATATTAATAATAATAAATATTAGTTATTGGATCATGTGAAGCACAGATACTAATCTGAAGAGCAAACTGGAATGTGATATGTCCTTAGGTACTTATGTACAAAGTACTTAAGTGTCAGCAAGCTATTTAAGTTTGCATAACTTTTAAACACATGCTTTAGTACCTTGCGGAACTGGAAGCTAACTAAGGAACAGAGAAGTTTACATTTCAGTACTGGACTATTATCTTACTGTTACAGCTCCTTGGACTTGATCCAGAAATGCATTTTGACACATGCTTGGCTTTAGGCATGTGCATTAGTCCCACTGACTTCAAGGGGAACATAAAAAACGAGCATGAGCTGAAGTGATTTGTTGGATGGAAGTCTCAAGAAAGTAGTTAAGAAAGTAAATAAGCAACAATATCAACTGCCAAATAATGTAATCTTCACCACCAGTAATTGCTCTGGTACTTCTGGCTATCCATTATGCATAGAGCAATACCAGGTCTGGGCTCAGTAATTCATATTCTAATTATACCCTTTCCTTCTAGGAATCCGAGAAGAAACACAAGATGCAACTTTAGTATCTGTGGACTGTAAAACTTGACAGCAGTTGCATTTGGTTTCACTCTTATCTTATGAACTGCTTACAGATTTTTTTAAACTGGAATCACAGGAAGATCACTATTCCTAATGCAGTTCATTACTGTTTTGTGCTTTCACAATGAAATTCTTCTACTGTGTAAAGAGGCCAGCACACAGGAGTTCCACTGCCTTACTTCTCATTTAGTTATTAAGCCATTACATTATTTCACATATACATTCCTTCTTATGAAAAAACACAGGAATCAAATAACTCCCATAAGAAAAGAAAAGTAGCAGCATACTGAATCCTCCTAAAATGTCAATAAAATCATCATTTTAGGCCCCTGGCAGATGTTAATTTAGCACAGGATTGGAATCTGACAAATTTTATCCTAAATCCCCAAAACTGTGCATCCTGCCAGCCAGATGTGCATGGCAGGATGTGTGATTTTGGAGATCTGTGATAAAATTTCCCAGATCTCAATAATGTGACTGCATGTGTGGGGAGCCTGGTATTGTGACCATGCTCTATTTCCTGAAGTGCCTTTTCATCTTGCCAAGACACAGGGAGTTCATAGGCTCCTGGTGTGTTGACAAACAGAAAGCTTCACAGTGCAGCCTGCCATCGGCCTGCATTGTGGGCTTTAGGTGCCAGCGAATAGAGAGCCCTCAGATGATGAGCTCCCCGCATGGTGGCAAGCTGAAAACTGCACAGTACAGCCCAAGGCAGGGCAACTATGTGACTTGGTGCATGGGAAGCCCATTAGCTGATGAGTTTCTGGGGCACCACTACTTAAAGGCATGTGTTTCAGCCCAATTCAGGGCTATACCATGCAGCTGATAAGCTCCCCATGTGCCCATACCTAAATCTGTGCAGTCCAGCCAGATGTCAAATATGCTACACGTTCAAATTAAAGTGCCTAGCTTTTTAGCTTAGCTATTTATTAGATATGGAACATCTTTGTGCCTGGCTTGCCATGTTATTGCACCATAAATTGGCAGAATGTGTGCCATGTTATAATTTATCATGAAATTAATATGTTAACTGCACAATAAATATACCATCTATCAGGGTGCAGAGAGTCCACCAAGTGTAGGAAATGCAGCCAAACAAGTAACACACAGAAACACAGAGATTTTTGGTTATAGAAAAATAAACATTTTTACACACAAGTGCACACATGCATACATATACAGTATTTATTATAAAGTGTCATAAAATATCATTATACAACGAACAGCAATGCACCAGGGATTTCTGAGGCCAGTTCACTACATAATAGGTTCCTCCCTATTATTATGCTGAATGAGGAGTGTACACTGGCAAAGATATATACCCATAACTTCCTTCATTACACAAATATTGTTCGTTATTAATTATGTGAAATTTAGCAAGTTATATTGCCAGTGAAAGCTTATAGAAGAGAATTTGGGAGATCAAGCTAATATAATTTATTGTGCTGAGTGTAAGTTATTTAAAAAAATATCATGAAAAATTTGAAACTGGAGATCACCTACCTCTCCCCCACAACTTTATTCATTGTGCCTTCTTTGCTAAGTTAAGTTGCAAAAATAACTAATGATAAGAAGTTCTAAGTTAACTTCTTGGCAAAGCAAAAAGAGTAAAAATGTTTGGTTCTAATATTTTTTTCTATTAAACCAAGACTAAAGCAACATTTTTTGCTTGTGAATGTGGTTTTTTAAAAGGAACACAGGACTGGAACACATTACCCATTGTTACTGAAAATAAATTTTGCTAACCTTTGTACTGATGGAGGTCAGTTAGGTTTTCCTGATAAGTTAGTATAATCGTTTGGTACTGAGTAACTATTTGTCGACGAAGGCTTTCCCAACAGGGAGACAGCTCTCCCAGCTCTTCTAATTCACAAACCCTAGAAGAAAAAGAAACAAAAAGGTCTTCAAATCTGTTGCACAGTCAACCAAAACAAACAATCCCTTGTGATGTCAATGTAGCAGAATCCTCAACCAACACACCCCATCAGAGAAATCCATCACCAGGGGATGTTACAAAAGATATTTACCAATGCACTGCAATAGACAAAAGGTCCGCTTACAGTCATTAAAAACAAACAGTGCTTTACTTTAAACTTGGCACAATACTGTGCAAAGCCCAGCTCATGCCCAGAAGAGGCATCCCATTAGCTGGACCCAGCTCGCCCAACATCTGTATAGATCCAGAGCTTTAGTGGGGCTTTTTGCCATTTTTATCTAATAGATGATTGAATCAGCTATTAGATAAAAGCACCAAAAAGTAGCACTGAAGCACCGGATCTATACAACGCACTGCTAACTAATGCACTGCTTGGATCAAACTAACGCACTGCTTCTTCTGGTAAAATGGTTTGTTTGGGTTGTTTTAATGTCTGTAAGGAGCCATGGAGATGACTTTCCCTCCCTATCTCAGTTTTACCAGTTTTCAATCAGGGATGGTTCCCAAACAGAGACCTGGAGTGAGAGAGACTTCTTTCTTTACTTAATGTGGCTGAAAAGCCTCTGTGCTGTAGAAAACATAGACACTGCTTGTTTCTGCTACCCAAAAAATAGGAAGTGCAAAAGAAGGTGGAAATACCCATGGTCCTTGAATCCACCTGATACACTGTAATGGAAAGCACAAGGATCAGCATGTGGAGAAACTGTGCCAATAAATACAAAGAGGTACACTCTCTGCTCCCCTTAAAGACTCGCACAGACCCCTCCATAGCCACAATCAGATCCAAATTTTGTCAAAGTGTGCAAAAAAGGACCACAAAAGCCTGAAACACATGTACGAAATCTCATCACGATTTGTTGGGTTGAAAGAAACTTTAGGCAAAGAGAAAAGTAAACCAAGTTGGTTGAATAAGAGTTCATAACCCTCTATGTGAATATTTTGGTGGCATAAGTCCCTGCCAGCTTGAGTCTACTATAATGCTCCATAATTATTATCTGACTTCTTCAGTGGAGGGTTCTGTCCTAGTTTCAATAATATTATTTCAGAAGATAAAAGCAGGAGGCCTAAGGAGCTGTGTGAGAAACATTACAAATAACTGATTCTTATTATAGTCATGCAATAGTCAGCAACTTGAATTATAGAGTAATATTTCTCACACTTCTCTTACTCTTAACACACAAGTTAAAAAAACATTATGCTGATTTCATGTACACACATCATTTCAGTGCTCTATACTGTTGCCAACTGTTGACATGCAAAGCCTCCAAAGTCTGCAATGAGTTGCTTAATTTGATTACTTTGGCAGATTAAACATGAAGTTGGAATGCGAGGCAAAGGAATAAGCAAATAATTAAACATGAGATGTCATTTAATAGAATACTACTCTACCAAATGTGGAGTTGCCATTTGTTGAGCAGATCAAACGGCAATGCTCTGATGTCTCTCTTAATAACCTGGATCAATAATGGTTACCAATTATCTGTGTATAACCTGAGAGAGCATCTGAGAACTGACAGAATGATGTCCTCTATGTAGTATTTTAGACAGCATATAAATATGAGACATATTAGACAAATTTGTCAATAATTCCATTGTCCAATGGGTTGACTGACAACAGGTATTATATAGTATCAACCAATCATTTGGTAAAAAACTTCCATCATTATCAAAACTGCTTTTTTATTCTCATAGATTTTAATTCCTAGAGTTTTAAGGCCAAGAGAGACCATCATGATATCAGACCTCCTGCATAACACAAGATGCTGATTTTTACCCAGTAATTGCAAGTCTATGGCTTAAGAGCTACCTGGAAGCCATCTCACCTTCTAGTTATTTGTATCACAGAGGTACTGAGATACCATGGATTTGAGCATGGTGTAAACATTAGGTACACACATTCTCAGCTAGATACTTCCTTTTACTCCTTCCCTGCAAAACTCTTGAGGACTCAGCAGCAGCAAGTACAACTGTCCAAGAACATATAAGTTATCACCTAAATGCTAATCAGGAGTGACTGAGGTGGCATGTCACTTAAAGCTACAAAGCATTCCTCTGGGTTCCAGTGCAGAGACAAGGAAGAGTAATACTTGGCTATATGTAATGTGTTCTGTGAGTATAAAGTATCAAAATGGGCTTCTCCAAATTATAAGTTAAAAATATAAATATCACAGAACTTGCTTTCCCTGATAAAAATACAGATGTAATTCACTTTCAAGAGAACACCTATTTTAGAAATATAGCAAATATTGACTGAAAATAAATCAATTAAAGATTTTGCAAGTCCCTGACTTACCAAATGCATTACAGAAAGCCTGAGTGCATACAGAGCATGTCCAATTTCACCACCGTTTGCATGTGAAGGGGTTTATATGAAAGGGCAATGGGTGTGCTTACTAAATGATGAAATATTTCATTTCTTCTATGTTATTACATGAGAGGCAAATGCATATAACTATAAAACTCAATTGAACTACTTCTCTCTCTCTCTCAAACCGAAGCAGCTCATCATCACTATACTATATCCACTTTACTTACTTTTTATCTGTTTTATTTCAATTCAAACCTACCCTTCTGGTTTTTAAAGCCATCCATGTACTCACTGAGAGAACACAGTGCTCCTGAGTCTTTTAGGCTGCATTTTAAATTAGTTTTCAGTAGTATAGAAGGCAGCCAATTGTTCCAGGAGTCACTTGACAGCCCTGTGGTGGTTCTGGCTTTTCTTCTCAATAACTTTATTCTTAACCTGCTGCTCTACTCACTCATGCTTCATTCATCCAGCTGGAAATGGTTATCATTTCCCTGATGTTGACACATCTATCCAAAGTTCCCTCCTTACCTACAGATATTTTCTTTCCTTAAATTCAATTTTCCTTTTGTTTGGCTTAAGATGATTCTGTTAAAAATTATAAGATGCTGTGTATAAATGATGCCATATATAAAAATGTAATGTACATTGTAATGTACTGGCCCTATGCTTGTCATTTTATAAAAAAACTTTATTATGATGCATCATCTCTGTTGTGTCATCAAAGAATTTGATACAAAATTTAAAAAAGTTACAGCAGTAATAGTGAAATCACAATTATGCATGTAGCCAGCAATATTCTTACTAATGCTAAACAGTCTATGGCAATCAGAATGAGAGCCAGAACTAATTCCTTTGCTTCCTCTTTTTGCACTACTTCAAGAAATTCTATTGTATTTAAGAGTTATAAAATAGGTAGGTATTAATGTGACCTATTACAGGCTGCCCATGATGCAAGAACCATTTAAGGGCTCAACCTCCATGCTGAAAAATGGTGGTGTGGGTGCTGATATACACGACACTGGAGTCTACTGGAACGGGGTAATTGCCACACTCCAGCAGACTCGATTAACTGAGTCTGCTCCAACCCACTGTAATTACTGCACGCCGGAGCAGCCTCCCTGCACGTGTATAGGCACTCATAGCCTATAGCTTTTCAGCAGCAACAAAAACCATTTGCAATTCCAAAATATTAAAAATGAGTTGCGAATACTCACCGTTAAAAATATATTTCAGATCCCTTAAGTTGCATTTTATACAACCACTGAATATCAGTTTCAGTTGAGAGGCAACCTTCACTTGAGAGGCGACCTTGTGGCTGCCTATAAGTTCATCACGGGGGCACAGAGCGGAATTGGTGAGGTTTTATTCACCAAAGCGCCCCCGGGGGTTACAAGAAATAATGGCCACAAGCTAGCAGAGAGCAGATTTAGACTGGACATTAGGAAGAACTTCTTCACAGTTAGAGTGGCCAAGGTCTGGAACAGGCTCCCAAGGGAGGTGGTGCTCTCCCCTACCCTGGGGGTCTTCAAGAGGAGGTTGGATACGCATCTAGCTGGGGTCATCTAGACCCAGCCCTCTTTCCTGCCTATGCAGGGGGTCGGACTTGATGATCTATTGAGGTCCCTTCCGACCCTAACATCTATGAATCTATGAATCAGGTGAATACATGTATAGGTCACAAGAGCAGCACTTTTTACTTTCCATTTAGCCTAACCAGAACTATAAGTAACAAAATAGGCCTGATTCTTCTGAATACATACATAAGGATAAATCCACCAATGGGTCAGAGCCTATCTGGTATAAATGCCTTAACTCTGACTTCAGTGGAACTATGGTGATTTATACCTGCTGACATTTTGGCCCAAGAGAACTAACTAGTGCCCTAATAAGAGGAATATTTAGCCTGAACAAAACATAGTTCATTACCAATGTGGTGGTGACATGAAGGCACTGACTTTAATATAACATGGCAGTGAGCAAGTCGCTTCACTTGCTATTTTTGCTGAAGTCTCTCTGTTGTAACAAGCTGCTCCTTGGTAACTCAGCAACAGACACAAATCATTGCTCTATTACCATATTTACTTGAATACAAGACAAGGTTTCTTCCACAAGCAGCATGGGGAAAAAAGCCCTTGTCTTATATTTGCATACAAGGAAAACTTATTAAAAATATACTGCCTATCATTAAACTACTGCCAAAAGCAGCATGTGCTCAGTAATGAAAACCAACTATAAAGCTGATTAAACACTAAGCAAGTCTATAAAACATATGGCTCATATTGGGCAAACATACTGATGGGAACTTAACACAAGGATAGATTAGTGCAGCCTGTCTGAAAAAAATATATGGTAGTACTCATTGAATGCAGTCCCCCCCTGAGCAACAACTCTCTTTCAAGTCATGGTGAGCCACTACCCTGTATATATTTTTACTTCCTCTTCACTCCCACATCTAAGCTGTGCCTTCTTTCCCACTTCCAATGATTCCTGTTTCTTCACCAGCCTTCATTGTATAACAAGTATCACCAAATGGGGCCCCAAACAGTTCATCCAGAACCTCTCTGTTGCCCCCTCTCTCTGCAGGGCACATATGATTAGTGTGTCCCTATTCTCCATGAGGTGGAGCTGGACCAAGTTGCCCTGCACCTGACCTGCATATACACTTTTGGAGGATCCTAAGACTCATGACAAGAACACCTAGTTCTAGTCATGAGTGGGAGGCTAATTAACATGTGAATCTTTTGTGGGAGGTGTATGGAATACACACACATACTGAGCAGTGCTAAGATCTGGGGCCCCCAATGACTCAAAATGCTGTTGATTCTGCTGGGGCCCACCCCAATGAACTATATAGTAAAGAGTAACAGTTTCTAATATCACGCACAGCTTGTGCTATAAGTAAATAAGTGAAAAAGTGTTTCTTAAAAGTATGTTTATGGAGTACATGTGCTAAATCTTGGGAGTTTCAAAAAGCGTAAAATGCAACAATTCTGGCTGAAATAAGTCTATGGGTACTGATGGCTAGAAAATGGTATTTAGAGGTTGGTTTTTGGGAACCAGCTTGTAGGTAAAACAGATACTGCATTAGAACAATGGTCCAGGAGAACGGCAAGGGTTAATGGATTTCTAAAAGCCTGTTTGTGATAGTTTGCTTCAAGGCCCACTGTGTCCGACACAGGCAAGCAGCAAGCAGACACACAGGCTGGGAAATTGAAGACATGTACCACACATGAGATATGGGACTCTGTCATATTGGCCAGGTCACAGTGCCCAGCTGCAGAGCCCTTGGGAGTTCCAGTTTTGGTAAATGGGTCAAATTAGGAGGACACCAGTAAGGCCCAAATTAGGATGTGTACATGTGATGGGCTTGTGAAACAAAGGAATATCCTGACAGGACAGGATGTGGACAGTATGACGACCACAGGGAGACCAAGAGATAAAGAGTCATCATAGGGAGGAAAAGAATACAAAAGGAGAGATTTCAGAGTAGCAAAGGGTACCCGAGAGGAGAACCCAAGGCCACCATGGACAGCAGGCACACCATCAGCCCATCTTACCCACCCCACTGGGTGAGGGTGGGCCCTGGCTTCTGACATCCATGTTGCTGACATCTGACATTCAAGATAGAACCTCAGAGAGAAGCTTAAATACTGGCCAGATGTACCTTGACTCTGTGAGCCCTGGGCCTGGTAGATATAGAATTGTTTGCAATATTCTTATCTGCTATCACTGTGTATCAATACAATTTCCCCCCAGATTTATTTTTCCTGATGTAGCAGTGGGAAGGGGACAAATTCAAGTCAAAGCTTCTAATAATTAGATTCTATACCTGGAAACTTATAACACATTTATAAATGTTCCATGTATAGAATCTAATTATTGAGGGGTTGTCTTGTATTTGAGTAAATACGGTAATACATGCAAATCTATTCAACCTTACCTTGCTGCATCTTCTTCAAGCAAAAGCTTCACAAACTGCCTGGGGATGTGCAGTGACAGCACACTCTCAGCCATTTGCTCCAAGATCCTCAGGTGGTTCCCATCAGTGGTAGGGAAACGGTACATCCGACAAATGGCACCGCCAAACACTAAAACATTAAAACCATATTATGCAAGGATGTGATCTGAGTTCAATGCTAACAAATTTCTCCTCCTTGTCCTCACTCAGTGATTCATAACCAAGGTGCTATGGTAGCTTCAGGCTGCCATGAAAACTTTTTAATGAAGCCCAAGGGTTCTATGCAGTATAAGTCCTGTTAGGTATGCAAATATCTACATGATTCACAAAGTAAACCCTGTGATTTTAAATAGAAATCCACAGTATTACAGAAACATTCTGATCTGCTGTGATCCAAGTCCTTTAAAGCAGAAGCACTGCTTTATTATTTTTATTTAGTCAAAAAACAAGTGAAACTGAAGTACTGGCAATTTCTGAGGGGGTGCCTTGAGTTTAAAAAGGTTGAGAACCATTGCATTAACCTAAGTTGGTTAGATTCATTCGCTCCTGCCTGTAAGTATGTAATTTAGTTCATGTACCAATATATATTTTTCAAGCATAGTTATTAAAAAAACCCCCCAAAAGTATTAAAACACTGTTAACACAGGGAAAATAACAGGACAACTGTTATTCTGCATGTCTTTACAGACTGAGCATTCTTCCTTGTACATAATTTTACTGGAGAATTATTTTGTCTAAAAACATTACTTTTCTTTAGGGAAAGTATTATTATCTAGATGAAGACAATTCTATTCTATACCATGCTAGTCGAGCCTATTCAGGGTTTTATACCACCTCCACTATAATGCAGGGTATTTGGTATCATATTTTGTGCTACAGAATGCTATATTGCAAATGGCAAAATAGATTATCCTTACTGACCTCAATTTCAGCAGCCCACCCTTAATCAACTTTAGCACACACTTAACCACTTTGCTGAACTGAAGCCACAGTGTAGACACAAGATTAGCTCTAACCAATGCTCCCTAAAAAAGAACTATCAAGCATAAACAGTGGAGATATTAAATCAACAGGAGATGATCCATCTATGCAGGTTGCTACTTACCAGATTTCAGTAATGCATCCTTCCGTAATGAAGCATATTTAGATCTGATTCCTAGAGATTCTGTTAAACTTTCATCAACTGGCAAGACCGTCTAAAGAACATTAAATAGCAAATATTAAATACAATACAATACAAAACCTTTAAATACAATACTACACCTTCATACCAAGTCAACCTACACTGGTCAGTATCAACATGGCAATATAAAGGAAACATTCAACATATTTGAAATTTTTATTTAAAATATTCACTATGTTCATCATCGACAAAACCTATCCTGACTATAAGATGAAATAACAAACCAACTTAACTGCTGCTTGCCTGGTACACTTCTGAGTGCTGTGAATATTATAAAGCCTAACCCTCAGCTGTTGTAAATTACCCACTAGTTGCATCAAGTTACACCATTTGATTACATGACACAGTGATAATAATTTACATTGTAAAAACAATATATAGAAGTTATTCCTCAAACACACCCAGAATACAGTCTGCAGTACTAAACAGTCTCTCTATATGCTGCCAGGCAATGATAAATAACTTATCTGAAAATCATACATTTTACTACCATAAAAATCCAGGTCTCAACTAATGATGTGTTTTGTTCTAATAAAACAGCTTAGAGCATTTCCAGCCCACGAGCCACCTGTTTGGAAATTCTACAATCCCTGTTTCTCTAACCATGTTTTGTTTGACATTGTCTTCTGATTCACAGATTAACATCCATGAAGATCTTTTAGAATCAACTACTGTGTCATCAACTACTACATCATCCACAGTGGCTGACAGGCATTTAATGCAAGCTAGTGTGTACCAGGCCTTGTTTATTACCCAACATTATTTTGTATGTCACCATTACTACACTACTGCAGTAATCTAAGATTTGTCTAAGACTCTTACACAATCATGAAGCAAAAGCTCTCAGCGTATTGTAGGCTTTGCTTCAAGTATTTCATTCGTGTCAAGCTGTTCTTAACAGATTAATCAGTCTCAGATTAATTAGAGTAATATCTCTATAGTACTTTACTACTTTGAAATCCTAAAGTACTGTATGAGGTAAGTCGTATTAGCAAATGATAACCTAAAACAGAGATGTGGACTGTAGATTATATCACCACTAAGATCACTGACTTTATGTGCCCTGTATCTGAGGCTGATAAAATGTTCATACTTACTCTCCCATTAATGGTATCAGGAGACCTTGTTACAGGTGGCCTTTGGTCAGTTTTTTCTTCCATTTGCCACCCTATAACTGTAATGTTACCTACACGATCACTTTCAGCAGACCTGTAACAAACACTGTATATAAGAACTTCTTGGAGAAGGATTTGTTTAATCAATAGAAGACTAATTACCACTGTACAAAATGTAATAATCCATACATTCAAAGACATATTTTAAATTAGGAAACTTTTAATACGTGGCTATAAGTCAATTTAACTTTACATGCTAGGTAGAAAATGATACCAACAAAGAGGCATTTCCTCGATTTTCCAAAGATAGTGCATGGGTCTCCTAAACACACGTGATTTTATATGCCAGTGGATCTCAGCCTATTTGCCACAGTGGGCCACACTTACAGCTCTCATTGTGTTATGTGGGCCACACCCACACAATTTAATTCCTGTGTATCCATTTAAAAATGTTTTGTATCTGTTATCTGACAGATGTAATACAATGTATTATGTAATGTAATACAAATCAATATTCCTCTCATTCCTACACTGTCAAATGTCTTACCATTTTATTTTTTTTACGGGATGTCACGGACTGCAGCAGCATGCTGATTTGGCTGCATGTGGCCCATGGGCCACAGGCTGAGACCCACTGTTATATGCTATAGCATACATGCTGCAATACCCAGCCAAAGCAGGAGACAGCTAAGGTGTGATCAATAGCATTAGCTTAGCATTGCCTTTATTTTATTGATTTATGACACATTCTTAATGTTATTGCAAAGCTGGTTCCATTTAGCAAATCTGTAACAGCAGATCAAACAAGAACTCATGCAAACAATACTGGAGGGTAATATGAAACAGACACATATGGAACCACGGGAACAGATCTAAGCACATATATAGCAAGGCAGAGTTGTGGAATCAAGTTTCAAAAGAAAAATAATTGCTACAGATATTGCTGTATATCCTAACTGCATCTTTGAAGGGTAATGTATTGAGATGAAGAGACATCCACAGATACACCCCTTTCTCACTGTCCCAATCAGACTTGTACTCCATATCAAACTAAGTATTTTTATTACACCTCATGTCATCTGGCCTACAGGGCCCCACACAGGTCCAGAAGTTTGGCTGTGGAGGAGCAGTGGTAATGAATGCTACCACTGCTCCCCCACCACCAAATTTGCAAGCCCCATGGCCAGATGACATGGCCCCTTCCACCAGATAGTGCTGGTACCAGAGCAGTGGGCCTGATCCCACCGTGCACAGGGCCAGGGTCTTATCCGCTGCATGTTGGGCTAGAATATTTTGGTGTGCTGGCTCATGCTGGATCAGGCCCACAGACTAATCCCACATAGACCAATTCCACACTCATCCAGCCTGCAGCCTAGAATGAATGGGCACCACTTCTCTATGTCATATGTCCAACAAAGAACCCTGGAAAATTCTGCACTGACTTCACCTCACCTTCACAGTTTTCTCCACAATTGTGAATAATTAGACTACTTTACCCATTGCCAACATCAAAACCTCAGTGTTTTTTCCGACTTGTTTGTTTCACGACTTCTACAGCATGTTCTCTGCTGTCAAATCTTACTAATTCTTCCTTTACAGCTTTATGCCTTGATCTTCTCTCACCTAAACCAAAGCAACCACGTCCAAGCTTCTCATGCTGATTCTACTGCAAGCATTGTTCTCTCTGACCATGCTCCCCCACTCAGACCGTTTTGGCTGATTTCGCCTTCATTTTTCACATCCCGCTGAAGAGTCTCATCGTTGTGTTCAAACATCCCTAGCTCCTCCACCCACATTTATCCCTTCAAGTTCAGTTTCTTCTAATATAACTTTCTGCTCAGGTCACCAGCCTAACCTTTTATATGCGTGATTTCATACTTCCACGCAGACTCCTACAGGTAGAACAATCATCCAGTTCTTTGTCACAAAGCCATCACCCTGTCTTCAGTACTTCCCTCTAAAACAGTGGTCTCCAACCTTTTTAGGTCAGAAATCACTTTTAGAATTTAAAAGGAACTCAAGATCTATGCCCCCCTTTCCCTCCCCAGCAGGTAAGTCTGTGGGGAGGGAAGGGGGAAAGGGCGGGGGGACGGGGCAGATCGAGGCCCCAGCCCTAGCCCCCATTCCCTCTCTCACCACTGAGGCCTCAATCTGCCCACGCCCCCAACAGTATAAGAAGGTAAAAGGTATATGCATAATTAGGAATGGCTCATCCTATTTATGACATGTTGTAGCAATCTGTACAGTACAGATTGTAAGGTCCTTAGAGATTATCGATAACCATAGAAGGATCATAGATAAAAATAAGGACCTAAGATATCCATGTAAATAAAGAAAACTTCTAATATTTTAGGTGTCTCACTCTCTTACATGCACAAATGCTGGGATGATTTGACAAAACGCACAGAAAGCAAGGAAAAACTGCACTTGTATGTATAAACTTAACCTGTAGAATTAGAGACAGTTTCAAGAAGTGATGCCAGCCCTCTCATTCCTTGTTCCCTGCAAACTTTGGCACTGAATCAGTAAAAGATTACTGCAGCACTTGAAAAGGCCTTGCTCTACATATTTTAACCACTGCACAGTATAAAAACTGATTTTCACCAGCTGGGCACCTGAAGTTCAGACACTTAATTTTTAAATTAAAATATGCAAGCAATTTTCATAGCATGCTCCTGTACCCCACTAGCCTCAGTATTAAGAATATTTGGTTTGTAAATGGCACAACATTACAAACCTTAGTGTTAAATGCAACCTATGATTCTTCTCCTGAAGTAGCTCCTTTACCGTGAATGCCACAGAACCAAGTAAATACATCTGAAAAAAGGAACATTATTATTAGTGTCAACATTTTAATTTTAATGTGTTTTTTTCCAAATCACTTTGCCATGGATGATTAATAAAATAAAAATTCAAGAACAAAATATAGCTATACACAACACAAATAAACAAACTGTCCAACCATGTTTATAAAGGATAAAGAAAATCCCTTGGGATATTCACCTTGAGGAAAACTAGCCCCTCTTTTTTTTTGCTGGGTGGAAAGTAAGGCCGCTTCCGATATATACAGCCAGTGGGGGGGGGATGATTCTGAGCCAAATTCAATGCATAGGCAAAGGGATGAAAGGCAGATGGTACCTGCAGATTCAAGGGCTCTGGTTTGAAGGTTAGCCTTATGGCGTTTTTCTGTGGGGAAGCAAACTATCCCTCAATGTGATAACATAAGGGAAATTTCTATGAAAGCATCAACACAGATTCCCTTATGCCAGAAATGTTCCTGCTATTTTTTCCAGAAAAGGGAATGAGCTTATTCTCATTTTAACTGGACATTGGTTTGTTGGTGGGTAATACACTATTCTGAAGAGCAAGTGTGAACGATAACATTCAACTTCAAACTGCCTTTTCTGAATGGTGTGCAAACAGGAGTGAGTCTAATATCTCAAGTATATATATCGTGCAGAGGCTGGTCCAGAGCTTCCATATGCCAGACAGCAAAGTACATGGATGCTTTCCTGAAAGCCATCTTCTAGCACTTTGTGCTTCAGAAGCAACCTATTTTGTAATTCACCACTTTATTAAAAGAAAGACTGAGGCTTCAGCAGATGATAGGGATTTTGGTGGAACTCTTTATGCTTGTAAGCTGTGAAAATGAGGTAACTTTTTTAGACACGGGGAAGAAATACATTTATACTGATATGAAGAAAATAAAGCTACTCAAAAAGCTACTCAAAATATGCTTGCACATTTCAATTACTGATTTCTAATTTTCATTTAAAAATACATGGTCAGATAAAACAAGTTTCCAAACTTTTGCCAACATAAGCAGAAAAGAGCTCTACCAAGGAAGCTTTTGAATTTTCAGTGGGAAGCTGATTTTTTGCCACTCTTCACCGTAAACTGGAAAATGAACTAGTTTCTTAGAAAAATACAGTTATGGTATGTACTGATTTTTTTAAAATTTAAAACAGTTTTCTTCGTGAAAAATCAATTTTTCACTTTTTTTTTTTTTTTTTTTTTTTACAAGGAGCCATCACACAGAAAATGTACTTACAACATTTATGCCTGGATGCAAAACCAAACAGGAAAAACTATCACATAAATCTGTAAGACTCAAGTATTTAAAATTTAATTTTCAAGCTCTAATTTGAGGCTAACAATGACCTTAGCATCACTCTAATTCAGCATAAAGTACTATGAAGGAACAGATAAAAAGACAAAAGCACCTTTCATCCTAAGTATTTAGGACTCATCAAGCTACCAGATTTATGAGAGACCTTGGCTTCAGATGAACCAGACTACTTCCATTGTCCATGGGGCCAAAAAACAGAAGTTTGGTTTAATTTAGAACAGGAAATATGACAGAAGGACTAGGCAGGAATATACAAAGTGAACTTACTGTTCCCTGAGATCTATCCTTAACATCATAGACAGAGAGTTTGATTTGCGTCATCTGATTGATAAGAGAGTCTTGAAAAAAGGCAATACTGCTTAGAAAGATAGGATTGCTTGTTCCCTGTAAACATAAATCAAGAAGGTAATATTAATATACTGTGATATATGTTGAAAAAAAATAATTTGTGTATTAGCTTATACTTTAAAATCTAGAGCAGCAAGACGCCACTACTTACCTCAATAATCTCTGTCTGTGCATGCTTTGTCCAGAATGCCTGAGGAGGTGTAGTTACGCTCACTGCTACAAAACTATTTGGTTTTCGGTCTAGCGAGGGAGTGAGCAGCTCACTGCAAGCTGTAGGGGTTTAAGAGTATAATTTTTAACTCATGGTCTTCCCAACATGTTCTAAAACCCCACAATTTTCATAAAAATGTATAATATAAAAAAGAGCAAATCAGTGCGCCAAATTTTAAGTCTGCCTCAATTTTGTGCATATGTGCAATATTTGTATCTGTGTGCACACGTAGCTCATGACTTGAGAGGCTGAGGTGCTTGACTTATGAGCAGGGATCCAGGTTTTCTGTTTGCCATGGAAAAAGGCGGATTTTCTCCCTTTAAGGAGAAAAATGCAGATTGTCTCCTTTAAAGGAGAAAAAGTGGGAAACGGCAAGTTTCCCCTTGCAGGCTGGCAGAGTTCCAGCCTGCAAGAAGCTGTTGGGGGTAGTGGGAGAAGGGGAGTGAGAGGGGGGCTATCGGGCAGGAGGAGCAGCATGTGCGCGCGCACACATATGGCAGCCAGGCAGCATGCAGAGCAGCTCCCACAGCTCCCTCCAGGTAAGTCTATGTGGCGAAAGGGAGGAAGGCAGATTGAGGCCCCCATGGTGAGGGAGTGGGGCAGGGCTGGGTGTGCTGCCCAGCCGGGGGTGACACATGAAGCTTGGGGCAGAAAAGCACGGTCATGTGACCTAGCTCGGGGAGCAAGATGGAGCCACAGGTGGCTCATCTGGAGGAGTGGGGGAAGGGGGAAGCTCTCTGCTGCTGCATGCACTCCTGGGGAAAGTGGGGGCACATGCCCCCCAGACCTGTGCACGGGGCAGATGCAAGTTGCCCATTGCAGGCTCAGTGCTCCCCACCCTGCTGCCCTCCCTCTGGGCCTCTGCAGCCCAGTAGGTAGGACCCAGCACAGGATGGCAGAGCAGGACAGGGAGACTTAGTGCCACTGCCAGGAGCTCCACACCAGCTGCGCCACCATGATGAAGTGCTGCGCCACCATGACAAAGTGGCCCCTCCCTGCTCAGTAGCAGCAGTGGGGCACAACTCTGAACCACTGCCCCTGCTGCTGCCGGGTGGGCTGGGGGTGCCTTGCCATGGTGCTGCTGGGTGCCCTGGGGGGAGGGCAGCAGGGTGGGGAGCCCAGAGCCCACAGTGGGCAGCCCTCACCTCTGCTCACCATGGGTTCCACTCCGGCCATGTTGTCCACAGGAGAGGGGGTCAGGCTCTTTGTGCTCTGTTCTGGCTGCAGCACCCACCATCTCCTGCATGCAGCAGCTGGGGCTCAGGTACTGCTTGGGGAGGGGTGGGGGCTGTGGGCCTTGGCCCTGGTCCAGTAGCCCTGGCACCAGGAGGCCCCCTCCAGCAGGACTGGGGGGACAGGGAGCTGCAGGTCGCGAGTGAGGGGCAGGGAGGGGTGGGAGGCTGGGGGTGGGAAATGAGGGACAATGGCAGGGCCAGGGAGCTGTGGTTTGGGAGTGAGGAGCACCTGGGGGGTTGGGTGGATGGGAGGCTGTGGGCTGGGAGCGAGGAGCACCAGCAGGGCCAGGGGACTGTGGGTTGGGAGTGAGGAGCACCCGCGGGGCTGTGGCTTGGGAGTGGGAGGCAATGACAGGGACAGGGTATCAGCATATCAGGGCTGCTCAGCACTACAAAGACGGGGGCGGGGGGAAGGAGGGGCAGCCGCAGCTGTACCTACATCCTGGGGAGCAAAGGGGGCAGGGGAGCTCTGATTTTTTTATGATAAAAAACCAAAAATCAAACCTAAAAACCTATATATTTTGATAATTTATTTTATTATAATGATTGAGGCACTGGTAGCCTTCCAAGTTGCTTTAAAATTGTAAATACACTAAAAAACATTGTGATCAACTGATACCTATATATATATATATATAGTGATATTTCATTTTAATCATGGAAAAACACAAGTTTTGGGGGGTTTAATTAGAGAATTTGGGAAATTAAAAAAACAGAGAATTCACTTTTTTTTAAACAGAGAAAACCTGGATCCCTGCTTATGAGGAGAGGCTGAAGGAACTGGGCTGATTTAGTCTAGAGAAGAGACGACTGAGAGGGGATTTAGTAACAGCCTTTAACTACCTGCAGGGTGGTTCCAGAGAGGATGGAGCTAGACCGATCAGTGGTTGCAGATGACAGAAAAAGGGGCAATGGTCTTAAGTTTCAGCAAGGAAAGTTTAGGTTACACAACAGGAAAAACTCTCTCATAAGGAGGGTAATAAAGTGCTGGAAAAGGTTATCCAAGAAGGTGGCAGAAGTTCCATCCTTTGAGGTTTTTAAAACTCAGCTAGACAAAACCTTGGCTTGGATGATCTAGTTGGGGCTGGTCCTGCTTTGAGCAGGGGGCTGGACTAGAAGGCCTCCCAAGGTCCCTTCCACCTCTCATTTTCTATGATTCTAATCAGACAGACAATTATCTGCAATGCACATGCGCATGTGTGTGTTGTCTCATACAAAGGTAATTATGCAGAAAGCTAGAGCTTGCTGGGACGCCCCAGCTGTAATTTACAGTTGTTTTTCTCTCTGAGTGGTACCATTGTGGAAGACTAGTAGTGTAAACAACAACTGCCAATCCCCTCTCTGGTAGAACTGCACTTAATAGTGCCAGGGGGTGTTTCTGCATTGAAAACCCATTGGTATGATGCATGTGATCTGCACCCACATTCTGCTGAACTCTGCAGGATTCTCAACAATAACTTGGCAAGGGGCATCATGGGGAGTGCTTGCAAACCAGCCATATGCCTGAGCTGTAAACAAAGGAATCTTGTCCATTGTAGCAAGAGTGCAATCACTTCACTTTCCCTCAAATATAATGGTGTTTAATTATTCTAACTATTTGGAAGGGAGGATACGCAGGAGGAAGCAACTACCAAAATCAATGGGTCTGACTTCTAACCATAATTAAACAGAACTTTAGAGCTAAGGCTGATATAGCTTTATATAAATCAGGAGTCAAACTAACTGAAATAGTTCTGCAGTGCTGGGTACTTTCTATTTTCTTTGCTCAACTATCAGAAATTATCTGGAGCTAGAAAAAATAAGCGCTTTCAAATTCTGTATTCTTAGTACTGAAGGTTATTATGCTTGTACATTTTAATTACTGAATTCTAATTTTCATTAAAAAATACATGGTCAGATAAACAAGCTTCCAAACTTTTGCCAACATAAGCAGAAAAGAGCTCTACAAAGGAAGTTTTGAGTTTTCACTGGGAAGCTGATTTGCATCTATTTTTCCAGCTGGGTTAACTAATGCACCAGAAGGTAAAGTGACTTGATTAAAGTCCTTTAGCAAAACACATTTTTTATCTATGCTAGACATTAGGACACCTTTGGGTCCCCTGTTAACCACCTAATTGCACAGTCAATGGACTAAGAGAAAGACTATTATAATTAATAATAATTCCAATAATAATTATAAAGTATTCCTGCTTAAGCAATCTCCATCAACTTTCTTGAAGGTTCAGTGCATTGACAAATTAAAACTAAAGTGATCATTTCAATCCCAAATCCAATAAATTTAATCGAACAGATGTTTTAATTTATGGACTCTCAGAAATATAGTACAGTTTGCTCACTATCACTATTCTGCTTTCTATCAAGATACATCTACAAAAAGCAAGGTAAGGTTCTATTTCATACTTTCATTAAACACAAAGTATGAGATTAGATACCACTCAACACCTGCTTGTAAGATAAGGCTTTCAGTATAAAAAATATTCAGCAGCATTTACCAGGGAAATTAAGAAAGATTAGAAATTATCATAAAAACTACCTACCTAGGCTGAACTCTAAAATCGGTTCATCTGGATCCTGGATATTTCCTGTAACACAGAAAAATGTATATAAGATGTGTTAACTACTGCTCCTATTCCATGCATTCTTAAGTTCAAGCTACAATTAAAGAGGGAAAACACTTCACGGAAGAAGTTATATCTTGAAAACATTTTTTGCATATTTTTTTATTCAGTGAATCATGAAAAAATATTTTAATATACAGTAAAGTCTGGTTAATTTGTCACCCCAGCAGGGATGCAAAATGGCAAATTACACAGTAGTTATCAATTACTAGTCATCAGAATAGCGGCAAATTATCCCACAGAATTTACTGTGTTTACAAGTTGAATCTTCAATATATAAAAATATCCTCAAAACTATATATTGCCAACTGATAAAAATACTTAAGGCAATAGGCAAAAAATTCAAAAGTGCACAAGTGACTCAGGAGCTTAAATCCCATTTTGAAAAATGATTTACATACTTATGATCCTAAGTCCCACTGAAAGATAATAGAAGTTAGGCTACTAACACAATGAGCAACGCTTGAAAATTAGGTTGTAAGTCACTATTTGCCCCACTACCTAACAGTACCTAAGTAATCACTCTCTCCCCCTGCAGCCTTCCCCAGCACTTATTTTCCTTTCTTGTGTCTTTTTGACAAGGTATTTAGCAGATATGAATCCATTTCTGGCTACTTGTTTTCCCTTGTTTTAGGGACTGACAACAGGGTAGGGTAGGGTGGGGTGGGGTGGGGTGGGGTGGGGACGGGACTAAGGTGCATGATGTCCAGTCCAGAGGTTGCAAGTTCAAGGCCACAGCAAAAATGCTCACAGCACAGACAAGTCAAATTCCAACAAATCTGTGAGTTCTGCTAAATACCTTGTCAAAAAGACAAGGACACGAGAAGGAAGAAAGGGACTGACGATGAGCATACATCCCAAGACCTAGCCTAACACCTCTCCTCTTCTATTTCTAGGCCCTTGGCTGTAAGATGGAGCAAAATGATTTTTCTTGTTATCTGAATTTTAGGATCACACCACCTCTGAACAAGTCGGAACATCTGAAATGTAAGTAATCAAAAGATATAAAAGTACGTCTGAAAAGAACATGAGGACACCTGGTAGCATAGAGAGACTTACCTGCTAGGGAAAGGCCTAGCATGTCAGAGGCAACATCAATAGTGGAGGCCCGTTGCACAGTGCGGGATTTTGCACCATGGCGGGGACTGTGTTCTCTTGCTGTCATTTTGTCATGAAGAACCGTTCTCTTGCTGCTAGAGTCTAGTGATTTGTCTTGCTGAAGTATCAGGGGGCAGCAGATTGTCTCCAATAGCTACTCCTCTAACATTACCATACTAGGCAGTAACGAAAACAAAAATATAAATGGAGTGCTAGGCTATTTTCAACCAATGCTTTTTTAACAGTGGCAAATCTATAGGTTTGAAGTGTCCTTAAGTGACTGGACACATAAATACTGATAAAATACAAATTCATGTGATTCATGCTCCTGTAGGATTTTAATAAAAATGGGCTGAATATTGTGCAACATATAACAAAGGTTTTTCTGTCAGAAATCAGGGACTGAAAGGGACCCATTGGCATAGCACCTGCCCTTTATGATTTGGCTAAGTTATTAAATCATCCTTAATGAAATTTATTGGGTCTTGTAACCCCAGTGCTTTTGTGGGGTGGGACTTCTGCAAGCAGAGATAGGAACAACAGATACGAATAAATGGAGAGTGGCTGACAGAATAGAAAGCAGAAGGCACAAGTCATTACTGCTGCTAGAAATTACCAAAACTTTAAAAAAATCTATTGCCCCTAAAAAAAGACACATCCAAAAAGAAGTAACAATTACTGGCCTAGAGTAGGTCTGAAACTAGTGGGGGAATGTAAAGGAAAGGGTGTGGTTGGTGGCTGCTGATACTGTAGCTCTGCAGAGCAGAAGGTTTCTCTGCAGTACTATTACGTGATACTTTATGTATAAATTTCTGTTGGAAAAAGGAGTGAATTATCCATCAGGGATATTTTACATTGGAGCATTACAACCTGTTGCTTTGAAGTGTTTCCTTACCATCAGGTCAGTGATACAATTATCATTAAATTTTACAGTAACTCACATTCCAACTGATGACACACATTTGAAACTAAACAAAAAGCACTTCTGTACACCAGAAAAAACAGAGGTATGAAAACTCCTTACTACATGACACAGTAGAGGCCAGTAATTTATAAAGAAAATGTCAACATTCAGTTACAATGGGAAGGATAAATGTAAGGGAAATGTGATTTCCTTCCCCAGATGGTGCCAGGAAAGGGGTGGATGTGGAACAATACAGTCAAGGAGAGAAGTGTCTGAGCCCACCTTTGCTAAGGTTGGCTAGTTTGCTGACAAATGTGAAGGTTCCTGTCTTTCCTGAACAATATTAACTTGTAATCATGACACTTCTGTATCAACTGCATTCCTAATATTGTTTTGACAACTCCTTCCATTCAAGAGGAGAAACATGGGAAGCAAAATAGAAATTTTGTGATAAAGTGACCACATGCCCCTGGCTTATATTTTCACTGCATCCATAACAACTCCTCATTTAGTCGCAAAACCTTTCAATAATTCTGGAAGAACTGTTTTTCCTTACTGAGTTATGAGACACAGAACAGGGACAGTTTCTGAACAGGGAATTTAAAAACTCAAGGATGCGAATGTTTCCCAAAAGAGCAGACTGACAGACCTCTAGGTTCAGAATGAAAAGCTGTCCTCCTTTACAAGAAAGTATGTATCAACTTAAATTGAATATAAATCAATTGATTGATGTAAATCAACACTCAACAGAAAAGAGATATTGATTATATGCAGGAAGTCAAAGAGACATGCACACTTCATTCCCAAAAGTTTTCAGAGTGCATGATAGCATGGGCCTTGATGATGGTCACACTGCAGAATTAGCTAACCTGACAGCCAGTAACTGAAACAGATTGTTTCCAATTCTAATTCCTATGATGGTTAATAAACAGGCAGTCCTCCCAGAAGAGCATATAGTCCCAAACGACAGAGCTGGCCAACCTGCGGCATGAGTGCCACACCAGGCACAAGCAGCCTCTGTGCATGTGGAATGCGGCAGATTAGCAGATTAAGGAGAGACAGGCAGCAGTGGCAGATAGGGCAGGGAGCAGAAAACAGAGCAGATCAGGAGTATGGGGTGGGAAGCAGAAAGCAGAGGTTGATTAGCGAGGAAGAACAGGGCAGGGAGCACAAAGCAGAGGAGCTAATCAGGAAGGATGAGGGGATTGGAATGGCATTTGAGGATGCAGGGCTAATTTGTGGCATGCCTGACAAAAAAAAGTTGGCCCCCACTATCCTACAATTTGCTTAGGTCAATGGTGCTCAAACTTTTTCCCTGGCAGGTTGGATGGACAGTTCCTGGTTCAGCCGTGGGCTAGATGGCAGGTCCAATCCAATGCCCAGGGCCAATGTGGTGAGCAACATCCAGCCATGAGGAGGGAGCAAGGGGTCAGCCCGGCCTGAATCCTGCTCTGCAAGGGAGGAAGGGGGTTTCACATGGCCTGGTGTGGGGAGGGGGTGAGGAGGTGGCCGCAAGGTAGGAAGGTATGACCTGGGCCTGTGGGGGGAGGAAGGGGGCAGGTCCTGGCCCTAACCCCAGCTCCCAAGAAAAAGGGGACATGGCCTAATTCCATGTGGGGGGAGGGGGAGGGCCCGGACACAACCTGACCCATGCGGGAAAAGGGGTGTTTGGCCCTGTTGGGGGGGGGGGGGACGCTTGGGAATTTGTCAGGGGGGAGGGTGACTGTATTAATGGCCACTGATCCACTGCCACCAAATTTCCTGACCAGGGGGAACCCCACAGGCCAGATGTGCTAGTTCCATGGGCTGCACTTGACGCACAGGCTGGAAGCTGAACACCCCTGGCTTAGGCAATAATTTCATTGCAACTGTCAGCCAACCTCCAGACTGCCCCAGTTCCCCCTTTTTTCCTGCTTTGACCACTGGTTTTTACTTGACTGTTTTTTTTATATATTATGCTTCTCGATTATTCATCTAAATTAAATATGAAAAGTATATTAGCAAGTAAGAATTTGTTTTATCTATGACAATTTGTACTCATCATACTTACAGTGGGCTGTTTTCCTCCCGTGTGAAATTGCAGTTTGGCATTTCTCAAAAGCAGATTTTAGTCTACATCTAAAAACAAATATAAAAGAGTAGGTATAAGTTACTTTGTGTCCAAAAGGCATTTTAAAAAGCATTCAAGTTTGTTCTTTTATTTATACCTTGTTCAGCAATTACTTGTGTGCTACATTTGTATTTCCTAATTCTTAAAATGAAATCTTAGAGCACAGCTGGAACTACAGATTCAACAAAAGCATTTAAGTCTGACAGTCGGCTCTACTTCCACACAATATTAGTGAAGGCTGCAGCCAGTCTCAAGAGAAAAAATAAGCATCAGTTTCTGTTAAAGGCAGCTGATTTCTGGTCGGCATCTGGTAAGGGTGAGAGTTGCTGAAATGTTTACATAAAGATGTAGCACTATAAAAAAAGCTGTAAAAATGCTGCTTGCTGGATGCAAGATAATTTTTGTAATTATTTGTTCTTTATTATAGTCAAGTTTAGAACCATACCCACAATTTCTACCATATTTTAGATCCTTATATGTTGCTTTAAGTGGTTCATGAAACTACTGCCCCTGGGAGAATGAAGGGTATTTAAAACAGTCAAAAAATATCAGGTTGATGGACATAAAACAAAGCAAGCAGAGGATAGGACTTCTATTTTACTTGGTAGAATGGCTGTGCAAGATTACATTACTGGCTAATAATAAGCATCATACAAATAAGAGCAATTAATTTATTTCTGAGTTCATCATGAGGTCACTGAAAGTTTGCATCTGGTAATGGTCGATTTCCTCAAGGTAAATATAAAGCCCACAAAAAGGAAAATAATTTTAGATAACTAAATTCAAAGGAGTATAATAGCAACACCATGCTCCTTAGTACATCCTATGAAGGATGTGCTAGGATGAAGATAAACTAGGAAAAATTCAATCAAAACCTCTTATTTTCATCTGTGTCCAATCAGTCCTTCAAACCTGCTTATAGACATAGCCCTAATGAGGACAGACAAAGGAAATTATGTGGAAAACAGCACAAGAACTCTGTATTAGCAGAGTTCAGATGTTAACAGATGGGGATATAAACTGCTGCAAATCTTCCAGACAGGGCACTTCCTTTTGGTACCCAAGCCGTTCACATCTAACAGCTGTCATACCAGAGCTCATGACTGATACAGTCATTCTCTCAGACAAACCCAGTTCTGAGCATGGCAATTGGGACATCAAACATGTAATCTATCGATTTGTCCACTCTATCACTGCTGGCAACGGGTGCAAGAGATCCAGTACCAAACAGGCAAGGTTCTGCTGCAATGGCAGGTTTTAACCACAACTACCTCAAAAGGTACCAAACCCAGCCTGCCTTTTTCTACACTTGCAATCACATCATGACCACAACAAAGGCTCGGCTACACTCATTACTGACACCAGGGCCAGAAACCAGTCACTCTCATAATACAGAACAGGGCTGTGACCACATAAGGATTTTATCCTCATCTGCACAAAAGAACAAAGGGGTGGCACAAGTGATGGTAAGGACTGAATTACAATTATTTTTGTAACTGCCTGGACTTCATAAACGCTCCTATTACTGCACAGCCAAGTCAGAAGAGAGAACCTGCTCTTTTCCAGTGCGTTTTGGAAAACCAGATGAGTAACTCTAGCCAAGTCCAATCCTCAGATTGCTTCCTTGGAAGAAGTCTCCCCTGCTCAAAGAGGATTTAATCAGTTGGCCAGGTACCAGTGAAAGCCACAGCAAAAGTATGCAACCCACACCTTATTCAAATTCTCAGCTAGCATTTCAGTGATTGTATCACGATGCATCGTTTATTTTCCGAAGTGGGCTGTAATCTCCAGAAGGGTAGAATGTCAGCCTCGTTCAGCTGCAGCTCTGTAGTCAGCCTTTTGTGGTTGATGCACAAATGATGAGCCACTAACACACGCACTAAATGGAGATTCTCTTTCAGCTCCAGCCAGAAAGGCCTGTGGCAGCAAATCATAAGACCCAGCACAGTGTCTAGCCCAGCTGGCCCAACATAGTGATGCAGCTAATTCAGTACGCTGACTCCAACAGCTGCGTCAAAGGAAGACATAGGAAGCCCTCCAATAAGCAGATGCAGACAAGAGTCCTAATCACTCTGACCAATGGCATATGTTGATAACTGTGATAACTTTTTGTAGCCACAAAATCACTGATGATTATTCAGGTAATACAGTTCTCATCTCCCTTGAGATCCTGTTGCGATATTACCGTTTTAATGCCTGTTGATGTAAATGCAAAACAGCAACTGAGCGCTTAGCATAACTGTGCAAATGCTAGCATACCAAAGGCATTGCATGTCTACAGGTCTGTAGCGCACCTATTTCTAAGGCAATTTTAGTGCTACAAAAATAAGTACTATTGGAGGCGTGCAAAACCGCCCCCCTGGCTGGAGAGAGATAAATCCGCTTAAAGACATGCTCCCCAGCACAGAGGTGATGGGGAACTGCTCCTTTCTTCCCCCCTTGCTCCATTCTCTCCATCAGTGACGTGGATCATTGACAAGCTTCCCTCTTCCCTCCCAG